AGGGTCTTGTGTGACAAGTGAGGCTGTTTTTTATCCCATATACATTGCATGGTAAGCCTAGTTATTCAAACTAAGAGCAGGGAAAAGCCCTTTAAAGGCAATAGGCTAGTGATATAAGTCATTCTCATATTTATAGAAACAATTTTGGGGAAGATTAGGACAAATTTTAACATCTAAATATGTTATTACCTTGCATATTTGAAATGGAAAATGCTGAAACTGAGAAGGATTTGGTCTTTTGGATATATCTATTGCATGTGATTTATTCCAGTTAATGAAAAAAACAGAGATCTTTCCAAAAATATCAATTGAATTCAACAATGATGGGACTGATGAGGATAATTTCTTCAATAGTACAAAAATTTCATCAGCATATAAACTGATTTTATATTCTTTCCTGCTTACGGTCATATCTTCAATGGCTGAGTGCTGACATATGTACATTGCCAGTGATTTAAGAGCAACATAAAAAAGGAGGGGCAAGAGGGGAAAGCCCCATCACATCTCTCATGCTAATTGAAATGTTGGAGAAATAACTCCATTAGTTGATACTGAAGTGAGGGGAGAGTTATATAATACACTGACCCGATTTGGGAATATTGGTCCAAATCTGTTTTTTTTTTTTTAGGACAGCCATAAGATAAGGCCATTCAGCCCTATCAAAGGCTTTCTCTGCACCTAACGATAAGGCCATGGAGGGAAAATCTGACATCTAAACTTGCTGGATCTGATGAGCAATTTTTCTCACATTATCAGCAGCCAATTGACCTTTAATGAAACCAACCTAATCTGTGTGCATAATTGATGGGATGGATGATGGTGTTCAGTTGTATTGCTAAAAAATTTGCAATTATTTTGCAATCTGTGTTCAATAGAGATATAGGGAGGAAGTCACCACAGTTGCAATCATCTTTGTTCTTCTTTAATATTAAAGTAATTAAAGTAGTTCTCATGTCACAAGACAGGATTCCTTTTTGGAATGTTTCAGTGAAAACCTTTGAAAGAACAGAAGTTAGCTGATTACAAAATGTTTTGTAGAAATCTGCCAGAAAGCCATCTATCCCAGGGGCCTTGCCTGAATTCATATTTTTATAGCCTGTTCAATCTCTTGTGTTGTGATTGTTTTGTCCATAAACAACTCTTGTTTTGAAATTAGGGTATTAAAGGGTAGGGCTTCAATGAAATGATCAAATTTACCAGAGTCAAATTGGTTGTCTGATTTATACAAAGCTTGATATAATAGTTTAAATTGATTATTTATATCTATTTGTTCCAGGATGGCACTCCTGTCTTCTTGTAATAAGAAAGATATATTGAGTGTAAGTTTGACTTGGCTGGATGAGCATTCATTATATTTATATTTGGCATTGATTGGAGGATGTAGGTGGTTTTCATTATTTGGGCCAGTCTTATACTTCCTCTGCAACTCATCTATTTCCTTGCATAGGCACCAACTTTCTCCAGTGCCAGTGGGTGCCCGTGCCCCCCCACCCCTTTCCCCACCTCTGACCCTGCCCTGACTCCACCCTTTCCCCGCCCCTGGCCCTGCCCCATTCCAACCCCATCCCCAAAGTCCCTGCCCTAACTCCGCCCCCTCCCTGCCCCTATTGGATCCCTTCCCCAAATCCCCGCCCTCGCCTCTTCCCCCAGCGTGCCATGTTCCCCCTCTTCCCCTCTCCCTCCCTGCCCCGCGAATCAGCTGTTTCGCAGTGCAAGCGCTGGGAGGGTGGGGGGAGAAGCAGGATGCGGTGACGGGCTTGCGGAGGAGGCAGAGGTGGAGGCAGAGGTAAGCTGGAATGGGGGGGGGG